CGCCCGGACGCGCTGGGCGACGAGGACGAGGAGGAGGCGCTGCCGCACTCGGAGGCGGTGGACGTGTTCCAGGAGGGGCTCGCCATGGTGGTGCAGGACCCGCTGCTGTGCGACCTCCCCATCCAGGTGCGCGGCCCGCGGCCCGCCCCGTGCCCCGGAGGGACCCTGGCCGCGAGGCTCTCGGCCTGGGCCGCGGAGTCAGCGGCGCCGGTCCTGTGCCCGAGCCCCTGTCCGCTTTGAACGTGAAAGGACAGAACGCGGCAGGGACCCAAAGCGGAGTGCCGCCGACGGAGCGCGGTCAGCGAGGGCCACTCCCGGCACTGCCAGCGGTCACGGTGCTGTCTGGGTGCGGCCCGCAGGCCAGGACCCCCAACCCCAAGCTTGCTCTTTCCTAGGTCACCTTGGAAGAGGTCAACTCCCAGATAGCCCTGGAGTACGGCCAGGCCATGACTGTCCGAGTGTGCAAGGTGGACGGAGAAGTCATGCGTACGTGGCCGCCCGCTGAGGGTCTGGGCCTCGGGCAGTGGGCGGGCCAGCAGCCCCGCCCAGCAGCCCGCCCAGCTGACCTGTGGCCCGCTGTGGCCTCCTCTCCCTTGGTTGCAGCGGTGGTCGTGGTCCAGAACGCCACGGTGCTGGACCTGAAGAAGGCCATCCAGAGGCACGTGCAGCTCAAGCAGGAGCGTGAAGGCGGCGCCCGGCACATCAGCTGGTGAGTGGCGGCCAGCCCCGGGCCGCGCGGGGCTCCTGCTGGCCGCGAGCCTGAACACCGCTTGCCGTCTGCCACGGAGACCTGGCTGGAGCCCGGTTTGGGGCCAGGCCCTCACCATGGTGCCCTGCCCACTGCTGCTGCCCACGTCACTGGCCCAGGCACCCATGGTGTCTTGCAAATGGTCCCCCAGGTGGCACATATGTCCCTGCCCCTCGCTCTCCTCACCTCGCTGCCCTCAGCTCTCCCTCTGCTGTCCGGTCCAGTGTCCTTTAGGCTGCGTGTCAGCAGTGCTGCCCACATCGCTTGCAGGGTGCCCCGGTGCCCCCCACGCCCCTTTGATTACTTCCCGGTAGCCGTCTCAGGCCCGGCACAGGACAGAGCCCGGGAGGCGGCCAGTCCAGGGTCCCGCCCTGCCGGGCGCCTTGAGCCGGGGAGCTGCTGCGTGGGGCTCCCGCCCCAGCGGCTGGCAGCTCACGGAGCCCGGCCCGGCCCGCAGGTCGTACGTGTGGAGGACGTACCACCTGACCTCCGCGGGGGAGAAGCTCACGGAGGACCGGAAGAAGCTCCGAGAGTAGGTCCAGGCCCCGCCGTGCGTGCAGGAGGGTGGGCCGGGGCTCCTTTTGGGTGTGTGGGGGGGGCGCTGACTGAAATAGGGGTGCCTGAGGCCCGCCCCATTGACGGGAGGGTCCCTGAGCCAGAGACTGGGGACCCGCAAGGAGGCCTGCCAGCCCCCGCACCTGCCCCCAGGCAGCTCGGGGCTCCACAGACGAGGGGGAGCGTGAATGTGCCTGAGATGGGGGCCTGAGGGGCGTGGGCACCGCCCACCTTCACTGCCCTTTCAGCTACGGCATCCGGAACCGGGACGAGGTGTCCTTCATCAAGAAGCTGCGGCAGAAGTGAGCCCGGATTCAGACGGCCGGGCTGGGGGCCAGCCCTGCCCCGGCAGGAGGGAATCTGGGCCACCGCCCACTGGCTACTGAAGGCTGTTACAGGGGCCTCACCCAGGTGTGCCTGCCTGGACTCTCGGACAAGCCTGGCCTTGGCACAGACCACGCAGGCCCTCCCTTGCACGCCCTGACCACGTGCTCGTCCCGCAGCGCCGGGGCCTGGCCTGTGCACGGAATAAAGCGGTTTGCTTTCCACTTGGGTGCGTGAAGGAGCCGCTGTGCCTGGTGGGGGGGAGCCAGCACCAGCCCCTCGGGTGGCCTGAGGGCCAGGCCCTGCGGCCTCCGCCTGCCCCCAGGAGGCAGGGCAGGCTGGGGTGGGGGCACCTCCCGACCTGAACGCCCGGTGCTCGTGCCCCGGGAGACGCCCGGACACCTGGTTCGGGGTGTCCGGGAGGCTCTCACAGCCGCCAGCAGAGACCAGGAGGACGGAGCCGCGACGCGGTGCGGCAGCTAAAACGCTCCCAGTCTGTTTATTGGCCACGTGCGGCAGTCACCGGCCGGACAGCGGCCGGGGACTGGCGGGGCGGGGCGGGGCGCCCAGGGCTCAGTGCAGCTGGGCGTCCAGCTCGTACTTCTCACAGAACTTGTCGGTGAAGGGGATGCAGGTGAGGAACTCGCACCACTCGCAGCGGACGGGGTAGACGTAGAAGAGGACCACCAGGCCGGCCAGGAGGCCCAGGAAGACCGCCTGGGAGACGACGATCTGGCAGCGCTTGCGGTACAGGTCGAACTTGCCGAAGCTGACGTAGGGCAGGAAGGCGAAGGCCAGCAGCAGGCCGCTGAGGAAGCCGAAGATGTGGGCGACGTTGTCGATCCAGGGCAGCAGCCCGAAGGCGAAGAGCGAGAGCAGCACGGCCAGCAGCTTGAAGAGGGCCCGCCAGGGCCGGGCCAGGATCTGCCAGCTCTGCAGGAGCTCCACGAAGAGGCAGGCCAGGATGCCGAACTGCGAGCCCGCGGGGCCCACCTGCCGAGGCGCAGCGTGAGGGCGCCCCATCCCGCCCCCCGCCCCCCCACTTCCGGGCCGCAGCCTGACCTCCGCCCGGTAAGGCAGGAAAATGGCGCTGGCCAGGTTGCCCGTGACGCCGCTCAGCAGGTAGATGATGGCGATGCGGTGCCAGCCGGCCAGCTTCTCCAGGTCCCGCAGGACGGTCATCTGGAAGCAGACGGACACCAAGCAGTGCAGGATCCTGTGGAGGGGGGTGCTCAGCAGGGCGGGCCGCACCTCCGCGGGGCCCGGAGCCCAGCCCCGCCCAGCCCACGGGGTCACTTGCCCGGCGTGCAGGAAGAGGGACAGCCACAGGCGGTAGAACTGGTCGGGCACCTCGGGGTTGAGGAAGGGCAGCAGCCCGCACACGTCGTCCATGCAGTGCACCTGCGCAGAGCGGCCTGTCGGCGCCAGAGCGGGCGCGGCCCGGGGAGGGGCGCCCGAGACCCACCTGCGAGCAGAGCGTGGCCTCCTCGTGGAAGTAGCCCCTCATGAAGTCGCAGTACTCCCGCGAGGTGATCTCACACCTGGACGGTCGGGCCGGGTTGGGCGGCTGCGGGGGGCTGCGGGGCCGCCCCGCGCCCGAGCCACAGCTGCGCTCTTCCGCACGAGAGGGGGGCGCCCCCGGCAGAGCCCGCCCGCCCGCCAGGCCCGGCCTCCCCACCTGCCCTTGGTGCCGATGCAGCAGGGCCGGCCCGTGATGGCGCAGTCCATGTGGGGGTGGTTGGTGCGATTCCCGGCGCTGCTCTGGGTGCAGATCTGAGCCCGAGGGGAGCGCGGGTCAGAGCCACCCTGCCCGGCCGCCGCCGCCGCAGCAGCAGGCCAGGGCGCCGGCGCTCTGGGTGCTGGACAGGCCTGGCCGGCCGCTGTTGAGCTGGAGCGGCGGCCCGTGACCTCCCAAACCTTCGCCCAGTTCTGCTCAGAGAGGCTCGGGCGGGGGCGGGGGCCCCGCTCACCGGCCACTTGGTGATGTCGTCTGGCCATTCGTGGGGGTCCTCGGAGGAGGGCTCGTCACACACCCTGCAGGAGCCCGGGGCTCAGTCAGACCCTGCTCCGCCCTTGGCGCCCTGGGAGCGGCCACAGCCGGTGGGTGGGGACTGACCTGGGGTCCTGGTGGCAGACGGAGCCAAACTGCCTCTTGTGGCCAGCAAGGTCCGGGGCACTGGGGTGGAAGGGCCACCTCACCCACACCGCCAGCGTGGACTGTGGGGGACACAGGGCAGCAGCTCAGAGCCGGCGACCGGCGACGTCCCGGAGGCAGGGCTCCGGAGCGCGGCAGCGGCCCCCCACTCTGCGGCACGACCGCGGGGAGCTGCCGGGGAGGGAGGCCTGAGAGCCCCGCAGCAAGGTCCCTGCTCGGCGCAGAAGTGACCTGTGTCCAGGCCCGAGAGCGGCCTGCTGCGGACCGCGCTCCTCGCGCGGGACCGAGTGCGGGTGGGGCGTGGTCACTTGGGGTCTGACCCTGGCTAGGCTCAGGCACCGCACGAGCCCCGCAACCCGCCGTTCGCCGCGTGCGCGACGGGGCAAGAAGCGGCAGGCGGTGTGTGTGCCCCGCCCAGCGCCGGCGCGGCAGGCGGCGCCAGGCCTACCGAGCACTCCTCCTCCGAGGTCTGCACGCAGCCGGACCTGTCGTTGCGCACGCAGCAGGCCGAGTGCTTCTCCCGCTCGCGCGCGGCGCGGATGAAGCTGTGCACCTGCGGGTCCTGGCGCATGCAGGGCGAAAACTTGGCACCCAGGTGAATGAGGGCCTCCTGTGGGGGAGCAGGGCGCTCTGTGGCCG